TATCGCTATGCAGCGAGGAGAATGCTCCTGCCGTGTTGACCGTTTGTCCGATGGATTCGCCCCACCAATGTCTTGGTGTTGTTGTTCGCTGTTCGCATGATTTGAATACTTGCACTGCCGTCGTTGTCGTCGGGGGCGGTCGACCGTGGGAGGCGTTGTCGTCCCATGTTGACGCCGTTGTTTCGTTGGTCTTTGCATTTGTTCATGGTAGCCTGGGTTCGGCAGTTGTTCTTGATTCGTCCACTCCAAGGTCGAGAACGGCGGCACTTGTTTCTCTAGGTGCACCGTTGAGAGATGAGAGATGCGTGCGGTTTTCACATGTGTGGCGTACTGCATCGCCCATGGATGGGAAATAGTCCTGTCAGGACTAGTTTCTGTGCAGATCCGGCGCGTTCTGTCGCAAAAGCAGAGTCTCAAGCGAGCGTTATGCCGGCGATTTGTCAGCGTGTTTGATTTTCTACTCTTATTTGATGTCTCGCCCTTCTCTTTGTGCTGGCCTCGGGGTGCTCAGGATCGATTCCGGCGGAGCTGGGTGAGCTGGCGGCGCTGACAGTTCTGCATCTCCATCAAAATCAACTCAGCGGTAAGAGAATTTACAGGAAGGTGGACTTCGTTCTCTCAGTGTACGTAGTCCTCATTTGCTTTCTGTTTCCTTTGGAAGCATTTTTTCGCCCCTGTCCGTTGGTTTCAGGGAAGGAGATATACAGTACTTTGATACCGTGCGAAAGAATTGTCGTTTTAGACACAGTCATACGTCCACGTGTGACCCCAAATCGCTTTCTCTATTATCGCTATGCAGCGAGGAGAATGCTCCTGCCGTGTTGACCGTTTGTCCGATGGATTCGCCCCACCAATGTCTTGGTGTTGTTGTTCGCTGTTCGCATGATTTGAATACTTGCACTGCCGTCGTTGTCGTCGGGGGCGGTCGACCGTGGGGGGCGTTGTCGCGCCATGTTGACGCTGTTGTTCGTTGGTCTTTGCATTTGTTCATGGTAGCCTGGGTTCGGCAGTTGTTCTTGATTCGTCCACTCCAAGGTCGAGAACGGCGGCACTTGTTTCTCTAGGTGCACCGTTGAGAGATGAGAGATGCGTGCGGTTTTCACATGTGTGGCGTACTGCATCGCCCATGGATGGGAAATAGTCCTGTCAGGACTAGTTTCTGTGCAGATCCGGCGCGTTCTGTCGCAAAAACAGAGTCTCGAGCGAGCGTTATGCCGGCGATTTGTCAGCGTGTTTGATTTTCTACTTCGTGTTTGATGTCCTGCCCGGTTCGGGTGTACATGTCTGTGGGCGCTAAGGGCCGATTCCGGCGGAGCTGGGTGGGCTGACGGCGCTGACGGTTCTGCATCTCCATCAAAATCAGCTCACCGGTAAGAGGGTTGACAGGGACGTGGACTTGGTTCTCTCGGTGTACGTAGTCCTCATGTGCGTTCTGTATTCCCATTGACGTGTTGTTTCGCGCCCGCCCGTGGTTCGAGAGAAGCAGATACACACCCTGCCGTTCTGTTGAGCGGCAGGAGTGGTGTGGATGTTGATACCGCTCTCTGAGGGCGGTTGCGGTCTGCGTGGAGGGTGTGCGAGTAAGGCCAGCGAGGAGTAGTGTAGTCTTGGCTATAGAGACGTAACTGCGCGACCGCCGGCGGTATTTGTTGTTGCCGTTGCAGAGTTTTTGGAACACTCATTTGCTGGCAGGCTGACGAGGTTCGCTGACGGGCTTGTCTGTGTCGTTGACGTCCGGTCTCTTTGGGCTTCCCGCCGTGGACGTCCTCCCTCCCTCAGGTGCCATCCCGCCGTCCCTGGGTGGATTGAAGTTGCTGACCTATCTGGGTCTCTACAACAACAAACTCACCGGTATGTATGGCCGAGCGGCGTCGCCCTGTTATTCATTGCTTTCCTTCGCCCAGCGAAGCCCTGCAGTTGCTGGGTTCTCTCTCGATCTCACATCCCAGTCCCCACACCTGAAGTCTTGTCTGATGTCTTCTTCGCTGTTAGCGTGTGGCTATCCAACGATGTTTCGTCGAAAATGATCTCGACAACTGGAAAAACCTCTGGGGCTCAAGGCAACACTTGGAGAGGGTCATGTACGGGCTAGTGTAGATCTTTGTCGCTTCCAAATGCTGGCGAGCAAGATGAAGGCTGTATTTCTGCGGCCGCCGCACCGCAGCCTTGGGTCGAGTGATCTAACCCTTCTGTTTCGTGGAAGCATGGCAGCGATCGTGCAGTGAAAGAATTGTCTTTTCAGGAGACACTTACACGTCCACGTGTGGCACCAGATCGCTTGCTCTAGTATCGCCATGCCGCGAGGAGAATGCTCCTGGCGTGTTGACTGTTTTTTCGATGGATTCCCCCCAAAAATGTCTTGGGGCGCCGTTCTTCGGTTTTGGCATATTAACTGTAAACTTGCATTCAACAGAGCCTAGGCTCGCTCGAGGCCGGGTCTCTTCAGCGAGGCCAGCGATTGTTGATTCAAAGCCCCCACTGTTGCTTCTGTGTTCTATTTTGCCAGCTTGCCCTTGTATGTCATGTGCGTTTATGAGCGGGCTGCTACCAAGGCATTATGGGGAAAAACGATGCTGTCTGCATCAGGGCGCCCTGTGCAGACCATCCTATTTCGTTACCAAGTTTGTTTGCGCTAGAGAAGCAAGCACAAAATAGGTGGTGCACGTGGCGCGCAGATTGTGGTACAAGCTTTCGAAATTCTATACAAAGAAGCTCTCGATAGGTCTGTGTGTAGGTTTCTTATCTACGCAACTTCTCTTGAAAATTGATTGGATGTTGTTCGGCATGCGGGGATGGCCTTTGCGTTATGTGTTCGGGACGCGTAATGCAGCTCTCGTCGGTGGTCTACGGCGTCCTCGCAACCAAGCGTTGTCGATGTTTGCCAAGGTTCGTTTGTACAACATGCAAGACGAGCGATGTGCCTGGTTGTGAACTACTGGTTCCCCTGTAACCTACGTGACTGGTGGACTCTGCCTGCCTGTAGGGCCGATCCCGACGAAGGCGCTGGGCGGATTGACGGTTCTGACGGAGCTGTGGCTCCCCGCCAACATCCTCAGTGGTAAGAGACGGAGCGGCCGCTCTCGATTGTACCACCGGCCGCTCACCCACGACTGCCTCGTTGTTGCGGCAGCCTACGTTCTTGGGGCGCTCGCACCCGAAGCTGGCCTGAAATAGTTGGGTGCTCATTCTCGGGAATGGATGTGGCTAAAATAGAACGCCGTACAAGGTAGATTCCGACATCTCGAATGCTTACGAACGTGCAATATTTTCGCTATGTTTCGGTGATACCGTTGGCGGGTTCTTTCGAAGGCCCCCCGCGAGGATCGTAACGCGCCGCGATCAGCTGAGTTTGCTTCTCTGTTCAGACTCACTGTCTCACTACTTCACGCGGACGATTGTGGTTTGGCGTTGTTTCGGCAGAGATCGACAAGGCGGACGTCAGGCGGATGCTCCCCAACTGCAGCATTGGAATTACACATGTTTAGACTCGAGCAATACAATCAGGGGATCAGTTCTGTACCCCTTCGAGTCTTGCGTTGGCACGGATATGCTACTATGGATGCCCGACTGGCACCTCCGATACTGTGGCTGCCCTTCGTCTGGCACGGGGACAGGTTTCTGCGTTGTGACGGCAGATACGAGCATGTCGCTCACTTTGTTCGGGCGCAACTCTTCGATGTGGTGGCCTGAAAAAATACCATGCTCGTATGCATAGACAACAGTAGACTGTACTATATGCGTACATCGCTTCTGACGATGAGTTGATGGGTTTTCTCGAAAAGATAGACCAAACAAAGGTGCATTCTTTTCATCCAGGAAGGAATCCCCATGTTTGGCTCGTTTTACCTTATCGTTTGGCGGTTTTTGAATTAAGGGGATGGTACATTGGTCAGACGGCAGGGTAGTGATTCCCTCAGTACCGTTGAGACGTGTTGTCTGTCGCTTCAAGACTTCGTCAAACGAACCCTGCGGAAATCCTACGCCGTGTTGCTTGTGTGGAGGTTCGTTTTTGTCGAAGTATCGTGTGTGTGGCTTAATTTTGGCGATCGTGGACATGTGTTGGTAGCCGCGTCTCAGGATCTTTTGCATGATTAACAGAGTGGGTATATTCCCGTGACAGGGTGTTCTTTATGCTTCATGGACATTGAATGTTTTCCTTGTTTTCAGCATTGTGGAGGCCTAGTCTAGAGTGGGCACGAGCGTACCCTGTTCTCGTATCTTCGCTGCTGACCGCGTTTGGGTAGCTTGTGGTTCGAGTATGTATCGTCTATGTGTCCGTCGTCCGCTTCTCGTCACCTTTCTGGGCCGCTTCTCATGCAAAGTCTGTGCGGGACAAGAGCCAGCCGGGAGCATCGATGAACAAGGGGTTGCAACCCCGGTCGTCCAACGGCCGCACTACGTGGCGTGGATTGTACTCTTTTTGGTTGCAGCGTTGTTTGTCCACCTTTCGTTCTTGCCAATAAGCGTGTTTGGATGGTTTTTGAAAGCACCTTCAATGACCGCAAGCAGGAGAGCGGGCGATCTTGCTCCTTTTAGTCTCGCCCCAGCAGACTTTACCCACGGCAAAAGTAGGCTGGGGCTCGCTCATGCGGAGAAATCATCTAGCTAGCTGGGTTATAGACGGTAGGATAACTTTGCTTTTTTCGATGTTGCTCTTGTTTTCTCGCACCTCATGGTCGTTCGTGTCGGCGTTGCGAGTTTGCAATTAGTGAAATGAACGTATCCATACCGGCACCTGCTACACCCTCCTCAGAATTATGGAGGATCATTTTGCGATGTAATTAACATTGCCAACGCATGTACGTGGGGGTCCTACGGCTGGATTGCTATCCCGATACGGGCTCGGAGTCGCCGATTGACTTACAACGGAGGATAACAACCGCGAATCTTGACCTGTCAGCGCGAGATGAGCGATCTTCTCTGCGCAACATGTTGTGGTGTCTCCCTTGCTTTCTACGTGCGGGGTGCATCGAAACACATCAGCGGCGACAAGCATTTCGCGGTTCAAGCAATTTTTGTGTCCTACTGGCCACGTGTTGCGTCTTTATAGCAAGAACTCAAGTCAGCATTCATATGCACTCTGACGGTAGGCAGCCCAACGCCAGCAACTGATCTGCCAACCGCTCGTCAAGGAAACTAGTAAAATGAAACGTTGTTGTGATGCTGTAGACTAATTAGATATGTTCATGTACGCGACCCAAGGGAGTATTCAACGTTAACGCGGATGAATTAACGGTGCTGGGCCCCAGGGATGGTCCCGAAGCTACCCCCAACGCGGACATCGCGCCAAGTCACAGAAACTCAATGAACAGCGCTGCTCGCACCCAAGACGAGCACATCATTGTCAAGTGACAGCGACCACGTCACCATCCCAGATCGCCCAGCCTTCTTCCGACTAGAATGCCGGCGCGGGACGGCCGAAGACATGTGACATTGACAGCAGGCATCATAAATACACGCTCCGTGAACTCTTGCTGAAGACCAAAGGCTTTATTTTCACGATTTATTGTATTTTTCTCAAGTGTCAAATTATTTTCCACGAAATCTGGAAGGTAACTCTCTGGCCAATAACCAGGGGACGACACCAGTCGCTTCCCTCTCTCCTCCAGAGTCCAAGTTCCCCTTCCATGTCAACTGGCAGGTCCAAACAAAATGCCGTCTCAGTACACCGAGACCCCCCAATGGTACTCCATACCATTGACATCCACCTCCCCAATCAGACCCTCATACCCCAGTTCCCCGTGGAATAATCGCAATCATCAATCGACATGTCCCTTCTATATATATGTATCCTCCAGGTATACATACCATAATAGTCATCGCCCCCCCCCCCCCCCCCCCCCCCCCCCCCCCCCCCCCCCCCCCCCCCCCCCCCCCCCCCCCCCCCCCCCCCCCCCCCCCCCCCCCCCCCCCCCCCCC